TCAGCGAGCTTTGGCCGGGCCCATGGCACCTGCTGCACCGACTTCCACTCTGGAACTTCCCGAGCCGCTGCAGCCACTGCCGCCACCGCCGCCTCCCTCTCTACTTCCGGCCCCGCCTCATCTCGCCGGATGTTTATTGCAGTTTTAGCCAATCGGAGCGCGGGACTGCCCAGTTGGCCACGATTCCCCGCCCATCCCTGATATCCAAGTGGTCTGGGGCGGGGGCTGCAGCGCTCGCAGGTGCCTTCGGCTCCGCCCACAGGGTTTCCCCGGGGATGCCGGGGTGAACCACTGGGGACTCCGCGGGGGGAGACACGGCAGGAAGGAGCCATTAAAGATCCCGGGGGAGGCTGAGCTGGATGAGTTAACCTTGGACATTTGGCCACCCGTGGTAAAGGCAATAGCTAACATTGAAACAGAATGGCAGGAATCGCTTTTCCTCTCTGCCCCCTCACAGCGGTCCTGTGCTTTCATCATTACTCCTACTTCAGTGAGGAAGAAATGGAGTCAGGGAAGCCAAGTGCCTGGCTTGAAATTGTTTGAAAAGCAGCTTAGTCTTTTTCCTTCTTTATTTTTATTTTTGTTGTTTTGTTTTGTTTTTGTTTTTTGAACCGGGATCAAATAGAACCTTGCGCTTGCGAGGCAGGCGGATGAACCACTGAGCTAAATCCCCGGCCATTTCCTTTTTTCTTAATGAAATATGTCAAACGTTCGAAAAAGTGGATGCAAAAGTATAACAGAGCGACCTTGTCTGCATTACTTTTCTTTTCCTTTATTTTCTGAGACAGGATCTTGCTTTGTGATTCAAGTTGACGTTGAATTCACTATGTAGCCCAGGCTGACCTTGAATTTGAGTGCTGAGATTACAGGGGTGCACCACCATTCGGGGGCTACCAACTGCTTTCAACAATAATTAGTGAATGCTGGTCCTTGTGATACAGGAAATAATACCGGAGATGAAATATGAAATAGTATCTCTCCCAACCTGCTAACTGCATGATATACTGAGCTCTTGTTATCTAGAAATCGAAGAATGAGTCCTAGGAACAATGGAAGTTAAGTGTAGGAAGATATTCATTGATATGAAAACTTCTGAGGGGTAGGAGGGGTCTCCAGTGGGTAGCCCAGGACCCCAGTTAATAGAAGAGTTTTATAAGGTGAAACCCACTTGGGTACAACGTAGACCATAGCCATGATCATCCAATAAGGTCACACTTTAGTGGTCCAGTTGGGAAACAAGTCACGTAACAAGTGTGGATGGAAAGAACAAAGATTCTCCTAGGAAGTGGTGGGTCCAGAGGTCTGCAGTTGCCCACCGAGGTGGCTGATGTCTATCTAGACTTCACTAGGCCCTGTGTTTGTTCTTTGAGGAGTATGTAGGTCTGATCATTTTGTATTTATTGTAAAGCCTGATTTTCAGCTGCTGTGTCTCCAGTCACAGCTGTGGTGTGTTTTCCCTTTGTCCTGACCCACTTGAGGACCTAACCCTATCTGACCGCCTATAGTATTTCTATCTAACTCAGCTGTCTATAATAATTGTGCTCAATCAGTTCCTCCCCACCCAGGGAATCTATGAACGCTTAAGTACAGAATTTATTTCTGACCAGTGAGACCACTTAAACTACACACTGAGCACTTAGCCATTAGCGTCCCTAACACAATTAACCATATTTCTTAATGTAGGCCTGAAAGCTAGTCCACTTCCTCACATGGTTCCCAGAGGTAACTGTTTTAGTAAACTTTTAACGAAGTGATATTTTATATATATATGTGATCAGCTCTGGGGAAGCCAGTCCTGCTTTCACACTGGGCCAGCCAGGGTATCCCAGTAGCCCAATAGCCCAATGACTGGTGACAATTTCATCCCAGAGATTTGGGGTGGAGGGTCCTTCTATTTTAGTTTGTATTTTTGTATTTTTTCCCAGTACTGGGAATCAAACTTTTTTTTGGGGGGTGGGTTTTGAGATAGGATCTCATTATATTGCTCAGGCTGGACTTGAACTCACAATGTAGCCCAGGCTCACCTTGAACTTGCTGCACTCCTCCTGCCTCAGCCTCTTGAGTGCTTGGGATCACAGGTGTGTACCACCATGCCCTGCGGACCCTTTTATCTTTTAATCAAATCACAAACCAAGTGAGGCAAAGATAGCTTTCAAATGAATCGGTTTATTGCAAGACACACAAAAGCATACTAAGCAAAAATAAACAAAAGGAATACATGAAAATATAGATAAAATAAATGAAAGAAAATTACTCAAGCACATAGTACTAGTAAGGAACTAAAGACTGTGAGTCTATAGAAGTTGTGGAATAATTTGAGTCCCTTTTTCACTGTATGGGCTTGAGGATCCCTGAGCCTGAAATAAGGAACTTAACCCACCCCTTTAAAATAAATATGCAGGGCTGGAGCTTTAGCTCAGTGGTACTGCCCCTGCCTTGCAAATGCAACATCCTGAGTTTGATCTCTGGGACCAAAAAGAAGTATGCAGGTTCTCTGACTCCTGTCATGGAAAAAGAATGAAAGTAAGAGGCTTGAGGGTTAATTAGAGGTACAGGAAGATACAGGATGCACTCAAGAGCAGAATGCAGGTGTTGTGAGAAATAGGGCACACTACAGTTGGGAACTGGGTATTTATGTTTGGGAGGCAGAAATCTGTGGCATGTGCTAGTCTGTACTCTTGCCCCTAATGAGCCCTTCCTGTGGGAAATGCCCAAAAAGCAGTCCCTTCCGGAGTGGAAGAGAACCACTTGTGAGTAAAAGAGAATGGCCAGACTCCTTTGCTTGTGTTTGCTGTTTTGGAAAAAGGAAAAAAAGTAAAGAAACGGGGCTTGTATTCCGAAACTGCAGTTTTTCTTTAAAAATATAATTTTAAAAATCCAGATTTCCCTGTCTCCTTTCTTTTTTTTTTTTGCAAAACACCAAATCTATATTTACATCCACATATAACAACATAACTTTAAGCTGAAATATATCATAAATAAAATAAGTAAATATCTACTGTTTGACAAGTAACAAATCAAATAAATGAAATAAATACATAAACAAAAATTCAATGAATTGTACCTCTATTAAATATACTGCTGTCTCAAAGGAAAAAAACATACAAAAGCAGTAGTATTCCAATAGTTAATACTGATGGACAAAAAACATTTTGAAGTAAAAAGAGCTGTTAAATTATTCTTATTCATTCAGAAATGTAGTTGGAAAGGAGATATGAAAGCCCCAAAATTTCAGTGTGACACAAAATTGATTTGTTTTCACATAGATTGGGTGATTAAAAAAAAAAAAAACCTTTAAATTTCAGCCCGCTGTTATCACATTCCACTCTTTTAAAGATTTACATTTGTTCTTTTTGGTATGCCAAGAGTTTGCCTAAGAGTCATAAACAATATGATAGACCAGTGCCAAAGAACCAGGGGCTAGGTCAAATAACCAGCAACTACTTCTCCTCCTCCTCCTCTTTGTCCTCCTCTTTTATTTTTTTTGGTACCAGGGATCAAACTCAGGACCTTGTGCCTGCGAGGCAGGTGCGGTGCGAATGAGCTAAATCACCGACCCATAAACAGCAACTTCTCATCCCCAACAAATTGAAGATGTAGGATCTTGGAATGGACTCAAAACCCGAAAGTCAGCTACACATGTAAGACATTTTTTTTTTTTTTGGTACCAGGGATCAAACTTGGGTCCTTGTGCTTGTGAGGCAGGCAACAGAACCACTGAGCTAAATCCCCTGCCCTGGAAGACATTTTTGAGAAGTAGTCATTTCTGAAGAGTTCTAAATACTAATAATAAAGCTATCTGCCATAAGCAACTTATAAGCATCAACCTTAGGAATTAAACTAAAAAAAATGATAAGACATTTAAGTGAGATGCAACCCCAAATTTCCAGCTCACCAAAGGCAAATCCAGGGGGCAATGAGGTAGGAACTATCTGAAAACCACCCACCTCGACTCCCTGAAGTGATTACAGCAGAAGTAAGAAATCAGATGAATGAGTTCCTAGAAAAAATAAAAGTAGAAATGGTTTCTCAGATAACTACAGTGATGATGAACATAATGAAAGACATGCTTAGTGACTCTAGAGCAGATATAAATTTTAAAAAGAGAGGAGCTGAGGAAAATGATGGAAACCATGAATGCCCAACATAGGAAGGAAATGGAATCCATGAAACAGATTCAAACAGATATCTGGATTAAAGATTACAAAGGGGGCCAGGGATTTAGCCCAGTGGTTCCACTGCCTGCCTCTCAAGCACAAGATCCTCAGTTCAATCCCCATTATACACACACACATACACACACACACACACACACACAATTTATTGCTTCTTAGCCTTTTGGCTAATATCTAGTGTAGTATTTAGATTAAAAATCACATTGAATATATATGCAGCAGAATGAGCCAATATGAGAAAACAATATCAGATATAGAAGACAGGATTGCAGTTACTGATTATGGAAAAAAAAAGCTTTCTTAAAAATAGCAAAGGACCACAAAAAAATCAATTCAACAGTGGCTAGATGATGTGAAGGACAATAGTATAAGGTTGATGAGTCAATGAAAAAACAGGAGCTAGCCTTAAAAAAAGTTCATAGAAGTAATGGCAGAAAATTTCCCAAGTGGGGGGAAGGATTTGACACACAGATAAGTGAGGCTTATAGAACTTCTATTAGCCTCCATAAAAAAAACCTACACTAAGGCATATAATAGTCAAAACTCCAGAAATTTAACAGAACAGAATATTAAAAGCTGTTGCTTAAGACTTGAATAAGCTAAAGTGACTCCATGCTAATAGGCCAGAGACTGTGCTTCTTCATATGATAATTGCTACCTTGGCTAACAGCCTGCCCCAGGGCAAATGGTATGACAGAAGGTGACCAGAGAACATTTGCTGCTTGAGATAAGCAGTGTGTTTGGAATCTTGACCTCTGGTAGTTCTGTGAATGCCCTGACTTTTT